TTCTGCTACCAAGGATCTGTAGGGGTGTGTTTATAGGTGGAGCTTGTAGGAACTCACGAGACAATGACTTGATGGCCTTCAACACATTATTGAAATGCCGACTTATGGTCTCTCCAGAATGTTGAAACCTGTCTTGTATAACTCTATTACGCTCATTATGCCCGATAATGTTCAAAAAAATTGCTAGTTGCTCTTCAATTGAAACCCCAGCTGTATCACGAAGCATGCCTCTTTGTCGAAAAATGCCACATAATTTATGGAAGACATGTTTATCCATCCTAAGCATTTCACGACATGCATCCTCTGGCCCTTCCATTAGTCCAGTCATGTAATTAGGTTGATTAGGTGACAGACTATGGCGAGGTTGTTTATTTATACTATTAAGATAATAGTATCCAACTGCAGCAGCAACTAGTTCCATCTCATCCAATTCTATATCAAAATCCTCCATGCCAGCTGAGGTATCTGAAGAAATTGCATAGCACAATAGATACTTCATAACAAAAGGAAAATGGTGCTTACTCCAAGTAGCAAATCTATAATATCAATAATTCATGTATAAACTTTCCTCTCTTAAGAAAAAATTCATAAGGGGCCAAAGAAGGAATATACATTGAGTGCTCCATAATAAATACTAAATGCTAATCTGGAAGCTAATGGTTAGTTCTTAATAAACCTAAAAAGAAAAGGCCTTGATTCGGACTCGACAACCCCATAGAGTCCACTCACTATTTACAAAGAGCTCACCTAATAAAGAAAAAAAAAAAAAAAAACTTGTAAGATAATTCCTTGAAAGGTATTATAGAACACCCTATTGTAGCTTATGAACCAAATTAGATGAAGTAATTGATCTTATACGATTATACCACAGATTTGGTTTTGCACTTTCCCTGTAACCACATCAACCTTCTCTCACTTTTAAGTGCTATAAAAGTCTCTCGTGCATTGCAGTTCTCAAATAAGTCTAAGGCAAGAAAATAGAGGCTCTGATCAACACCTTGCATTTCATCCAAGACTTTGATGCATTTGCTAATTGAAAATCGATCTTCATTCTTCATCATTGCAGCAGCTCTCATTTTAGATGCAGCTGCTATTTCTAGCATAGCATCAACTATGGCATCGCCTGTTGCCTTGCGACTTCTTTTTTGACGTCCTGAACTTGATGGGAGAGCAGAATGACATTTGTTATGCCCATCGACCAAATTCATCTCCTCTCCAGAGCCAGAAGATGCATCCTCATCCACTGAGTTTAATGGTGCATTAGGATAAAGAGACATCTTCAAAGCCTTAGGAATGTCAACAACTGTCTACACCCCAGCACAAGGATAAAGTCCATAATTATTTCATTGAAAGTTTTAACTATCATATACTTGAGCAAATAAATTGCATCCTATGGCCAAAAGTCCCAAAATTCACTAAAAAGGTACTTAAAAAATAAAAAAAATAAATAAAAATAAATAAAAAAAACAACCAGCACATAAGAGATTTCAAGACTAGAAATTAAGCTTGAAGCTGACCACTATTAAGCCGCTAAATCTGCATGTTCTATATCAAGGAGAATGATAATTTACCTGCCCCAATCCCAACTCACTCTGAGTGAGGGGAGGAGCAAAAGAGAGATAAATACAGAAAAAGTGCAAGACAGAAGCTAGCTTAAAACTTCTTCACAGGGAAGAGCATCAAAATGAAAGTCGGCATGTATTTTATCTTAAAACTTAAACTCCTATGTGAGATCGAGTGAAGCCTATTACTATGATAAAAAGTGACAAACCACGTCAAACTTCAGAGAGAGTAGCAATCAGGATTTCCCCAAAAGCCAACCCAATTTTATTGATATTTTTGCCAATATCTGAAGACAGCAGTCCTCAGTACAGAGCAGCAAAACATGCTTAACCGTAACCTATATATATGATCACATACCCTTTTTGTCCAACTTTATAAACTAAAGCTTGCTTTGCTCTAATTAATAATGGACAAAGGTCCTCAACATCCTTTATTCTACCCATAAGTTTCGCCTTATATCACCAATAAGAATAATATTCCCATGGTCTCAATTTCATTAGGCCATTACGGTGGGTGCAACTATGCAAGTAGTGAAGAAGCTTGGGTAAAACTAAAGAAAAGCGAGACAACATAACGACACGTTATAGCACTCCTATATCAGTACATCCTACCAACCAGTAGAAGTTGAGACCCTGATCAGGACACTTAAGCTATTCAAGGACCACCATCAAGGTGTTCCAAAATTACACTTGACAGCAAACTTAATATAGTCAACCTTTTTCATCAAACTCTTAAATCATGGGCCTCCCCTAATTAAGTTATGATAATCACCATAATTCCTCAAATTTCATATGATGCCATCACAATCTTTGATTGCACAGCAAATATCATAATCAAGTTATAAAAATCAGCAAAATTTAATCAAGGATAAAGTCACAATCAAAATTGATACAACATCAAATTATGTATATACCCATATGAAACAAAATCGATTAAATAAGCTTTCCTACAATTTTTCACTTTAAATTAAGAGCCATAAACAATGTACATTGTACAATTTCATCTTTTCCTTCGGTTAATTAGAGAACATAAAATATAAAACTCCAAAAAATTACATTTAAACAAAATTAACCCAATAATTTCCTACATCCCAATTCTTATAATACACAAAAGAATTAAAATTTCACAAAATTGGGATTTTTAAATTAATATAATCAAATTATCGGATTTACAGAAAATTAAGAAATTTCGCAGGCAATTAGGAGAGAGAAAGAGGGAATGAGGATTACCTAGAGAAGCTTGATCAAGTAGCAATTACAGGTAGATTAAGCAGAAGAGAAAATGCGAGGGAAGATAATGGCAGCTTAATCAAAATTATTTGGAAAAAAAGTTAGGCAGAAGAAGAAAGAGGAGAAAAGGGAAAGAAGGGTTTAAGCTCCCCTAATTGCGTGTGTTTGGCTCCTAGAATTCACAATTCACAAACATGTTAGATTAACTAGTTGGGTCGAGTTTGTATTCGTGTCGAATATAAATATAATGGGCCGCGATTTTAAAGATAGAAATATTGATTGGATTCATATTAATAATTGAATTTTCATTATAATTTTGAGGTTAAGGGTTCGATTCTCATTGAATAACCACAAACATAATAGATCTCGAAAATTTAGAGTCAGATCAAATCAAATTTGGCTCGACATTACAAGGGTTTTTACTATTGGAAATTCCCATTGAAGCATAACAAATAATTTTATAGGGCTTAGGGTTAGTCAAAAAATTAATAATGGTAGCTTATTAGTATGCTTAATTTAGATCATTACTTTTGATTATATGGAAAGAATAAGGTTATGATGGGCGTTAGAACGGTCGCACATTCCACACTCAATCAAATAAATTTATAAATCCTAAAACTAACCCCTAAACAAGTCTAGTGGTAAGTTCGGAGTCGAACCACAAGGAACGGTAATGTTGGATTGTTCTCGATCTAATGCTTAAGCTACGCCGAAGTCGGTTTATGGATAGTGGACACTACAACTACACTAACACACATATAAAGATCAAGATATTACAAAGTCTACTAGGGGCAAAGATCCACTTTGAACAATTAACAAGTTAATGGGAATCGATTTGATAATCAATCATGCAAAGAAAGAATTAAAATGGGAATTAATTACCATCAAGAGCAATCTCTCAAATTCCTAGCCTAGATCCCTCATTGACTAGGTGCATAGAAGAAATTTACCCAAAATGCAATCAAATATATAAATTCTAATTCACAATCCCTTGTCAAACTAGAACTAACATGCAATTAAGTTTGCTATCTTGGGAGATCAATCCAATCTAAAACAAACAACATGCCATCATCAATTCAATCAATTTAATCACACAATTATCATCAAATTTATCTCAAATAACTCAATTAACCATAACAAAGCTTCACTCAACACCTAGTAGAAGGAAATCTACTCAAACATGATTAACAAAGCAATCAATAAAGCATAACGAGAGAAGAGAGTAAGAAATGCTCATTGATATAAAATGGAGATCTTCAAATCATCAAATTCCTCCTTTGATTATCCAAAATCCATGAAAACCATTGTGCTCCTCACTTTCTCTCTCCAAAATTTGAGAGTTTCTCTCTCTAAAAACCTAAAACTAACCTAAAAACTAAACTAAACTGAAAAATCCTTCTTTTTTCTTTAATGAGCAAAAAAATCTATTTATACCCCTTACAAAATTGCTTAGGAAGCTCCGCAAAAAGTCAGCTGAAACGGGAAAAGGTCCGACCGAACTCTGTGTAGGTTCGGTCGGACTCAGGGTAGGTTCGGCCGAACTCAGGGTAGGTTCGGTCAAACCTCCCTGATCCTTGTTTGGTCGAACTTTCCTGGTTCGACCCCTCCTGTAAACATGCTGAAAACTTGGTTGAAACTGCCTTGGAGGTTCGGTCGAACTTTTCAAAAGTTTGACCACACCTTGGTTCGACCGAACCTCTTAAAGGTTCGGCCACACCTCCTCTTGAACTTCCTCTTCTTGCTTCCTCTTCTTCCCTTTTGCTCCTCTAGTCTTTGTCCATGCCTCCATACTTGGCCAAGGGGCCTCCTACCGTGCTTAGGACCGTCATGGAACCTGCAAAAGATAGCAAAGATCACGAGAGCATGGGGATGATAAAATTATGCATAAAGATTATCAAAACAAGCGCAAATAAGCATACTTTTCATCCATAAAAGAAAAGGAAGCCATAAGAGGAGAAAAGAGGTAGAAAACCTAAGAAAAACAGGAGAAAAGAGACCAATACACTACCCCTAAGGGTAACATAAATGTCACTCATCAGGTTACCTATTTAAATAGAGTTTGTGACCAGACCTATAGGTCATAGCAAAACAAATTGATTTTTTTTTTTTTTTTTTTCTGAGATCATACAAAACAAATTAAGTAGTAGATTGGATTGATCTAACCACAGATTTGCCAAATTCACACCAATCTGCTAATTTAATGGTCAAACCACTCGTTACCAAACAAAAACAACTATTAGTTTGGAATGAAGGGAGGATAAAAACACTTGAATTATAAGAAGGATAAATCCAAAATACAAAAAATATAACTAATGCTTAGTCTACAAATTTATATATTCACTCTTCTTGTGTGAATTCTTTCACCACATACATTATAATATGCCTCTATGTATATGTCATCTAGATATGAGACTTCTTTTGCATGCTTAAGCTTATATTAACTGAATTTTGTAGTGCATACTAATACTATCATGCATAATACGTAAATCATCTATTAAATAACCTACATAATCAAAGAAGGGGACAAGATAATGTCTTGCTCACAACGATCACATAGAAAAATTCTTGGAACCTCTTCATTGTTTGGAATCCTAACACATCGAGTATGCTGCCAGACTTCGCATATATCACAGGCAACCATTCTTTCGCCGTCATCCTCTTTAGCACCACAGGCACAATCTATGCATCCATAACCTTGATTATGGCAATAATTTCCAAGTTCATATACATTCCATCTTTGCATTAGTGGTCCATTCCCAAGCTCGTTCCCATTAACATCACCGATAAATCCTGCTTCAAAGATGATGTCCTTTCCTTCTTCAATCACCCCACAAACAAAATCTGTTTCATTTGCATTAACATTGACAATTGATTGAATTACTAATCCTTTCATTCCATAATATACATCTTTGAAGCATTTTTCAACCTCCCTTTTTAACTCTTCAATCATCATGCTTCCTTTTACTTTCACATTTTCGTAAGGCTGCATAATTTGCTTGTCTTTCAGCTGTAAAGTACAGAACAAATCAACTAGTCCCTCCCCAATGCTGAATTTGTTTCGAGGTGGAAGGTTTTGTTGATAATTAAATTCTTTGACAAGGTGTTTGCTGTCAAGGATCACCCTGCTAGCAATTAAAATTGTGCTTCCTGAACCTGATATTGCCTTTCTTTCTTTCAGTGTGGATTTGTAGAGGTACATGATGTCCTTTGCGAGTTGAGCCCTAGTGACCGCCATCATATTAGACTTAGATTCCCTCAACATCAAGTTATGATCATGGCTAATGGACATATCTTCCAAGCAATATTCAAGAACTTTGGTTACAGGATTCAAGCTACGACGAACAAGGTATTTTCCCACAACATGATTACCAAGTGACTTGAGCACAAAATCCAAGAGTCCTGTATCACCAATGTATACCCTTGCTGCATCCCTGACCTCTTGTCTTGACACCCATTTCGGCTCAGCCCTTTTCAAAGACTCAACTATGACCCGAGTGGCCATTTCAACCCTCTTAGGGGACCACCTGCAGGAAGTTTCTAGAAGGATACCTGGATTGAACAGCTCAGAGGGTGCAGTCTCTTTTGGGAGGCGGGACCTGAGCTCTAGCATGAAGTGGAAAAGGTCACTAAGGGTTATTAAGGAATGCTCAGATAAGGCTTGGTACCGTGAATATATGATTGGTAGGTAATTGTCTGAGGGGCTTAAGTGGTGGAACAGAAGGCATAAGGGGATGTTCTGTAAAGCCTGGATTGATTTTTGGTACATGGATTCTGTAACTCCAAAGCTTCCACGTCCAAATTTGTAGTCCCACCGCGAAAACCAGGGCCCTCCATATGCTAGTCCATGAAGTAATCTCAAGTCCATGCCCTTCTTCTGAGATATGTCTGTCAAGCTCACTTTCCTGGATAACAAAACTAAATTTCATCAGTTAACTGTAGTCTGTCTGAAAAATATCACTTATTTTTCAGCCAAGGGTATCCAAATAAATTTGATAAAGAAACAAGCTAAAAAATACTCTCTCCTTTCAGCTATCTTTTTTCTCTGAAATTTTCTATCTGCTCTTGCTTCAAGCATAGTCCTAGCAACATAAAACGCAGGGAAACACCTCACAGGTCACCCCTGAGCCTTGCCTCATTCGTAGTTATGATATGCATATTTAGCACATCACGAGTATTTGGGTTTGAGTACATAGAGGGGGGCACTATAGATAAAGCTAAGATACATACCGAAATTATTTTTTCTAAATATAAATTCCTCCCTCATGCCTGGAATTACTGTTGGCCTATTAACAATAACATGGCAAAACTTGTAGTAGGGAACAAGATGACTGATTACCTTGCACGCAAGCCAGTACAGATACGGTCCCAAAAATCCATGACCTGGTGACCAGTTAAGTCTGAATTCATTTCAAGGCCATTAACACAGAGCAAATGCCCAAAGCCATTGCAGTGGAACACTCCATGCAAAGTGTGACCCTCCAGTTCCACCAAGCTGCAGGACTTGGTACCGCATCTTGCAGCTAAAATTGTACCATCAGCACAGCAATTACCTTGGCAGCTCAAACATGTTGATGCCATAGCTGCAGTTTCCTTGGAGGGCACTACAAAATGATACTTCATGTTGCAGATCATATGCTGTCCCCACCCTGTTACAATCAACAAATGCAGTAAATAGCACTCCTGAAAGGCCTCAGATGTTTTAAGTAATTGCTTGTTTTTTTATCTTTCATTTGTGTACTTCTGAGATGATAGGGGACTTATGTAACCATGCAGTATTTAAATAATAAGTGTAGTTTTCCCTCTTTAAAGATTTGTGATAAGGAAATGAATTATTTGGCTTTATATCATCCTAATCACCCGAAAACCTCTGTATCAGAATAGCTATCCACTTATATTGTTAGCCCTATGGGGATTCGAACACTGCTAGTGTCATGGAAAGTCGAGGCTAAAATATTTGCTTTATAACACTAACGGGTATGTCTATGCAAAACATGGGATTACCATCTTCTTCCCTTTCCTTTTGTGGAATAGTAATCGACAAGTTTTTGGTAAATTAATATGACCCAATGTTAGAGAGAAAGTAGAGAGGATAAACTAAAAGAGAATGTTTAGTTTTTTATGGAACATGCATAATTAGTTATGTATAGACAGAGGTAGTGTTATTAATAAGGCAACTTTCTAACAGTGTAACAATGTAACATAAAGCATTAGCTAGACTACAATCCACAAGTTTCAAATAAGTACCTATGTAGCGACAATGTTTGCAGTAGAGGTAGTTTGAAGTTTCAATTGGCTCCTCTATAACAAACAGAAAGACACGGTGATCAGGTCTATGACGATGAACTTCCAGCTGAAAGGACCAGCTTATCATACCATTGGTACTATGAATACTCTCCATATGCCCAAATTCGAGTAATGCTCTGACATTCTTCCAGAAAGGGCCATCGAACTGAGTTGGATAACCCGGCTCACAGAAAGACTTGAACCTGAAAACCCTTTGATCTGCAGATGACCTTTTCCTCCTCTTGTTGCAGCTATGCAAGTACTCTAACTGTGACATTTCAACCGCCTCAGAAAAAAACAAATGAGTGTACAAAAATGTTAGTATCTAGCAAATACAAAGCAAGATATCAGTTGAGGAGAGAGAGTAAGATAGAGAGAGAGTCTCAGAGCTATATACCGATAATGCTGCTCGATCACACAGTAAGTGCCGTCAAATAAAATTGGAGGAGAATACAATGAAATTAGCTATATGAGTTACACTCTCTGCATGAACTCTGTCAAAAAAATATTAGTGCCATGCAAACTTGTCGCAACAACGCTTGTAACAACTGTTATATTAAGGTTAAATAAATAAGAGCATGCTTTTGGTCAGATTAAATGATACTATAAAATGTTGCATATTCCGTTAAAATTTGTGGTAAGATACGGATGCTCTAATGTGAGCTTACATAAGAGGAATAAACATGTAAATGCAACATTCCTTCACCAACTACCACATTCAAGGTAAAAAATAAATAAATCTAGAATAAACTGTTACAGCAATTAATCAAATATGAACTACTAAATACGAAACTACAAATCATGTTCCATAAAATTTCAATTCACTGTACTTTCATTACACTAGCACAGAATGGTCCAACTTTGATGTATCGTTATTGTATAAATTACATTCTACGACCCCCAAAAATATCATCGACACTAGAATTTAAGATGGTACATATTTTGCTAATCTAATCGTCAAATTATGAATTAGGCTTTAAGAGATTACATAAAGCGAACAAAATTTGTAGAGAATTACAACACAATTTGCTAGCACCCTAGATTCTTAGTCGCGGATCTCAATTTGGAGATAGTTGTCGACAAATGGGACATTGAGAAAAGCCATCAGCAGATAAGAGTCTCACTGCAACATATGCGACTTGTGGCGTATCTTCTCCCAGCTGCATATTGCTGGATTCTTGGGTTCCTCAAGAACACATTTAACCAGTAGAAAATTGGAAGCTCATAATGAAGATTCCGGGCTCATAGATGGCCTGAGTTTAGACGGCATTTGCATAGGGGTGTGTGAATTACGACCATATCTACTTTTAAGCATAGAATCTTTAGGTGTGATGGACATTCTGTTCAATGTATCATTAAACTCGTCAAGATAATCATCTTCAAAACTTTCTACAATCCCTTCATCTCGGGATGCTGCTCTATTCGTATCTGGGTAGAAAACATCAACATCTTCATCGCTGCTGCCTTCATCGTCTTCATATGTTTTTCGAACCATAGACCAGTACACAAAATTTGGGCGAATGGAACTGCAAAATTCAAACAATGGTTATTTAAAATGAAAACTATTCAGAAACCACAACAACAGGGACAGATTCATATTATGGCCATGTTTTGTTAATTTTATTTCCACGTAAAAACAAGTTCATATAAGTAAATAAAAAAGGGTAGATAAGTTTTAAAAATACATGTTCAGGAAAACAAATTAAGTTCAAATAAGAGTTAACAAGGACTACCCAAGTTTAACTTACAGTTAATATAACTTGTAACAAGTTCAGGTTTAATTCATACAAGTGAATATCAAGTTAATTAGAACACACCGAAGTGGAGATTACACCGCCAACTATAAGATCCTTAAAATATCATTCAAAATGTATACAACATCCAATCCACTACTTCGCTTACACTGGGCACATATGCCAAGCCATTCACCACACAAACTAAATATGCATATCTTACACAACACTCGGCATTAATCATCTTCACATCAAATTCTAATTTCAGAGAGGGAATATTCTATTTTAAATCATCTTTACCATATCCTTAGGGCTGCTATGGTTTGCAAAAGCCATAATTATAAAGAGTAATAGTAAAATCATAGTGAATGAAAATTTCAACCAGCTTCCAATGTCATTTTCTACACAGAAATGTCTTAGGGCATCCTTGATAGAAGAAATGCGCACAATTGGAGGTAAGTGAGAAAATTTTAGTCAAACTATAAATTGCACAGAATGAGGACAGCACTTAACAAAGTATCCCCTTATATAAAGATTGATTGCTCTGGAATGATAAATATACTCCGTAATTACTTGATATAACGAATGACATATAACTCAATATAGTGGGCATTGAATTCGCATAGTGAAGATATATGATAGTCCATACAGAAATTCTAATAAAGAAAGTATAATAAACACCTACAATGGCTACAAACCAGGGACAAGGGATTCATGTATTACTGCAACCTACACAAGCAAATGGTCTTAATTTGGCATATCAATTAAGGGAATAATTTATAAATCCCTCCTCTCTACCTTCTCTTCATGATTTACAAAGAATAAAATTAACACTATTAAGTGAGCATTAATATTGGGAGTTCTTCAATGCCAGGCCCAGGTCATAAGTGCAATGTTATGTAGCAGAAAATGTGGCTGTTATCTTGAGACTCGAGAGTTATCAGCAGCTCCTAATGATGGTACCCCTCTCATTACAGGTGCCAAAGATTAATTAACTATGCATGCAAATAATGACCGACAGCTTGGCTAATAATAATAGTATAGTAATTAATTGGATCACATGTCATACCCTACATCATATGCACAGCACACACACACATAAAGCATGGTATACAAGGTAGTGAACATTCCCATGGCTAAGTTGTGTAAGATATTACAGTGAAAGAAATGATAAAGATAAAAAGAGTACCTGTCACTTTTCCTCAATAGGCATGGGTCAAATGGAAAGAACATGTCAAGCCTTTCAATCCCACCAAAAGCTTTAGAAAGTTCAGACTCTAGCATATCATGAAAAACAGGAGTACCACTTTTATGAAGTAAATTAGCTGATTTTGCTTGCTGTAAAAATTCCTCTACAATTGATGGCAAGCAAACCTGTCATTGTTGGCATATAAAAAAAATAAAATAAATAAATAAAATAAAAAAAAAAAATCAACATTAGAAAGGTCTATCAAAAATTAAAAAGGCACATCAAATATCAGTGGAGAAAATTTCAGATAATATGATAATTTTGAGCAAACAATTAACCTTCAAAGGCTCCAGATGACTCGTAAATATTTGACTCAAGGGAAAACCAGAGATTTGCGATTTCAGATTTGGAATGTCAATGATAGATCTCATGCGGAAACAGAGAACATACATGATGGCCTGCAATAGATGAAATTAGAAGCTGCTGCATCCTTAAAGAGTAGCAAAACTAGGTTCAACGGAAGTGTAAGAGAATTACAACACAATCCTTAAACTAAGAATTCAACAACATTTCATGCTTATCAATAAAAACATAACAAATAACAAAATGCAAATTTTTTCTTCAGAGGGAGGGAGAGAGGAGGGAGAGGGGGGGAGGACAAGACATTAATAACATGGTTTTTACTTGTAGAAAATAGCCACTTCTATCATTTCAGCTCAGATTACAGAATGTATCTTCAGACGCAAAAGTTTCCAGATGTTTTAGTAAGAAAACAGCTCTCAAAATTCTTCAGATCTATAGGTAAAGAATAGGAAGAATTAGACACTTTTCATTTCCATTTTTAAATGATGTACACAGAGAATCGGAGATGCTGAAAAACAGCCTTTACATTATTTACATATTATTCTTGTTATGGAAGAGGGATGTTACAGAATTGTTCATTTTACTTACATTATAAGACAAATACATATAATACCTAAAAGGCTAAAATATTATATCCTCTGTTTAATTATTATATACCCACTTTTCATTTTGAGGTGTTTTTATTGGATGAATCCATTTCTTCAGTTCTTCTTTATTCATTTTTGGCAAACACATTTTATATCTACACATATACTCTCACTCACATTTTATATTTGACCCCTCACCCACAATATCCAATTTTTTTTCTTATTACAACGCACTTTTTGATACACCTCTTATCACTTTATCAGCAGTTTTCTGACACCCACTCAAATGCTCTACTCTCCTAGAAACCAGAGTTCAAAGTAATTGGGTACATCAAAAGAAAACAAAGCTAGTATATTGTTTCAAGATGCACCATTTTAATCAAGATATACGACATTGTATGACAAAGGATCACTTAAGCAATTTGTCAAGAAGGGCACATAGAAACAGTAGAGAAATCGAGCTGCAGGGAAGAGAGGATATTACCTGACATCCAGCATAAAACACTCTATGAACTTTTGGATCAGAATTGCCACTTTGAAGTCTGCAATAATCTGAGCAACACTTGGCAAGTCTAAAATTTTACATAAGTAAGAAATTGCCTTTATCTTGATAAATTTATCAAAACCAAATTAGAATAATTGCATTTAGTAGACATCTGCACCAAACTGGTCTATATAAATTAATTTCACAAATATGCTGAATCAATTACCTTCCCAAAATGTTCACAACAAGGGGTGTAGACAGGAATCTCCCACGAGACATGAAACTTGCTAGATATGCAACAGCACTCATCCTAAACAAGATCAACATGAAAATGGTAATACGAAGGCTCATTTCACAGCACCCAAAAACAAGAAGGACAAAAAGAAAAGGATGTAACATAATTAGCGGCACAAACTACACATAAAAGCAGTACAAATATCAAGTGCCTGCTGAATAGTGAAGACATAAAGGAAGGACACCAGATTTCATGGTAGGAGTAGGTCAACATGTACTGTATGTTGTCCCTATATAGCATGTGTGCCAGCTCATTTTTTTTCTTTCTTTTTTTTTTTTCTAATAATTGCAACATGTGCCCTTGGTACACATTTTAAGGAAGAGATTAGAGTTAAACAGACAAATTAATTACAACACCAATAACCCAACATGTCCCTTTTACTGGAATTCAAAAGGGAGTGTCACCAATAATGTTCAATACCTAAAATTGCTGGAATATTTATAAAAAACTACAGCATATGCATATCACATTAATCACATAGTGGACATATGATTATACCTAGTAAGTGGGGGAAAGCTGCAGCAAATATACATATCAGCAAGAAATTCAGCAAATCTTGTGCCACAAATTTCAGAATCCAGAGAGCAGGCATAGAAAATCACGAACTGCAACAAGAAAAAATACAGGTTACTATATAGTGACTAGAATCATCAAAACAACTTCATTATATAATGTATCACATGAAAGCATCCATTTTTCTCTAACAACATGCCGCATGAACCATAACTAACATCAAGGAAGTAAAAATATGAAACAAATGGAGATATAATGTGAATCAATAAGCTATAAATAACACCTTGGGCCCATAGAATAAAAATGCGGTTTCGATCGCGATCGCGGAAACGGTCACGTTGATGCGGTAACGGAAATGATGCGTTCATCGCGGACTGCGTCACGGTCGTCGCGGTAGAATTTTTGTTTTAGACTTTCTGAAGTATTAATTTTTTTAAAATAATAAAATTATTTTTTTAAACAGATTTTCAAATATCCATTAATTTTCTTTGTAATTGAAAACTAAAATAAGTTTTACTAACAGTTATAGTGTCAAAAGTAAGTTTTACTAGTAGTCACGTGATTCCATTTCAAAGAAAAATGTAGAGAATGGTGGGGTCAAAGTAAAATAAACAAGAAAAAAAATGATGAGCAGCATTTTATTTATAACAACCGCCAGATTGTTGCCAGCTGTCCCACTATTCCCACCCATGACCCATCTTCACTTAACCCCCGCCTTTCACCTTTTCCCTCTTTCAATCTATCGAGCAGCCGGCAAGTCGGCAACAATGGAGTTTGCCATGAAAATCTGATAAACCAACGAATATAAGCTATTTCTCGAGCAATCCGGATATTTATCGGCCGCAATTCGGATGTCGCGGTCAAAACTCAGTCTTTTATAAAAGGTCGTTACAAAATGGCAAATCTCGTAACGGTAGCCTGAAATTCCGTTACAAATCGTCCGCAACGCAACATATCGGCCGCGATTTTATACTATGCTTGGGCCTTTTTTATTTTTATCCTTCTCATCTATTATTAGTACTACAGTATTAATGTTTATCTAGCAATGAAGGCAAAAAACTGGGAAAATATACCCTTGAAAAGTTTCCATCGAGATAGCATAAATTAAACAAAAATACAGGAGTGCCCTTGATTTTGGGAAAGAAAAGGTATGATGAATCTTTAAATTTAGTTATTTTAAGCCTAAATTCTATGATTAGTACTCCCTCTGTTTCATTAAGAGCAGCCTTGTTATTTTACTAATTGAAGCCAAAGAAAAGAGATTAGAGAGTGAAAATGGATCATTTTCCTCTTTATGAATAGAAGAGAGAGCCTGATTCAAAGAGAATTTAGATTATTTTTTCATTTGTTAATAACTTATCTACATTTCTCCTTATTCTCAAGTACAAATTTGCTAAAGAAAATGGACCAAAATAAGGTAATAAAAGAATAAATAAATAACATTATTTAAAAAAAAAAAAAATATATATATATATATATATATATATATATATATTAGAGAAAAGCTATGGTATTTGCTAGACCAAACTATGAAGAGGAAACCGAAATGATTTTGTAAGAGATTAGGTGGGTTTCTTGAAAGACCTTAAATGACAAGACACCATATATAATGAGTACGGAGTACTTGAGTTTTCACCAAAAAAAAAAAAAAAAAAATAGAGTACTTGAGTTGATTTTTAAAAGGAAAAATGGAAACTAATAATCCCACCTTTGCCACTTCTATTCAAAACAATCCCACCTTCATTAATCTGGAAACAATCCCACCTTTGCCTCCCATGTGCAAAACAATCCCGTTTACCTACAACTTATTTCAGGTTTTTTTTAAATAATTAATTTTATCATTCAATGTCTCTCCTCCCACCTCCCTACCCTCTTTTATGGCAGCCCTCCACAACCATCATCTCTCCATATGTACCACAAAACCATAACCACCACCTCATAACAACCACCATACCACCGCCTGACCCCACCCACTCGGACTAGCAGACATCCCTCCCACCCCAATCCCAACCCCGAAACCCCTTCATTCACGCACCAACACAACATCAGCAACATCACTCACTACACCTCCCCTTGCCGCCAATCCACCTCTCCACAGCCGTCCACCACCCACCTCACCGCCCCACAACAGCAACAACATCAAATTCGTTCTCCAAAACCCCAAAACTTCACCCAAAAACACCTCACAAGCATTGCAGCAATTGAATGGAGAAATGATGGGTATGTTGCAAGATGGGAGTAAAAATTCATGGGTAAAGAAGCAACGGATTTATGGATGAAAACCCATTTGGTTAAATTGGAAGAACAAGGGTTGAAATTTCAAGTTCAAGCATTGGAATTAGAAAAACAGATATTCAAATGGATAATTCAGTAGCAAAAAGGAAAGGAGAATTGGAAAAATTGAAGATTGATAATGAAAGAAAAATGCTTGAGCATGAAAGGATGATGCTTCTGCATGATCGCGCCGCAGTGAAGGAGGATGGGGCTGCTCCGACAGGGGTAGTCATGGTGGGCTGACTCCGTTCTGGTGGGGGATTGGGAAGAGGGAAGGGGAACAGAAAGGGAGGGGTATAGATTTTTTTTTTTATTGTTTTAATTAATAATTTTTTTTTAACAAAAATAAAAAAATTGGATTAATAAGAAGGTGACACATGGCAAATCACCTTCTTTAACAGGTTACCAAACTAAAAATCCGGTAAAAGGCCTATTTTGAGCAGATTGAAGGCAAAGGTGGGATTGTTTTCAGATTTCGAAAAGGTGGGATTGTTTTGAGCAAAAATGGCAAAGGTGGGATTATTAGTTTCCATTTTTCCTTTATATAAATGTTTAAAGTATATCCACCAGTATTCAAAACAAAAAGATGCCTTAGCTAGGAAGTATATAGCACTGGTGCCCCTCAGTCAAAAGTATCCCAAAATCATTCAGCGCCACTTTGAAATACTTCATAGTTATATCATCACAATCACCTGACCTCAAAGATTGTGAACTTTTAAAAATCTATAGTTCACTCGTGGCATGAGGTAATTGCACCACGAATTGTATTGCACCATGAAATATGAAGTGGCCTCAGTAGAAGGGGGAAAAACAAAAATTTCTCATGTGAAAATTCAGCATCAAACCACAAAACGCACAACCATCTAAAGATACACATAAGATTTAGATGTAGGAGGCTAAGAGCAAAGAGGAGTCTCGAAACAATATCAAAAATGATCTACAAAAGTTTCTTCCTGAATTGCTTAAAGCCTACCAGGTACAAACTTTATCATGTGAGCTAGTAGTGCATTTAATGCAGATAATCTCCGTAAACTGGATAATTCATTTAAACAGAGTAACATGGGAGATACATTACCTGTGCAAATTTAGACTTGTAAGCATTCAGAACTGTAATCTGAAATGACTGGAGGAGAGATTCAAACACCTAATCACATTCAAAGAAAAATTTAGAATAAAAGGCAATCAGATAATACAGAACATAGGTATGTGAACATTACTTAACACAAAAAGAAATTCAGAAAGTACCTCAACCAAACGACCGTTCTCTTTGCAATATTTTAGATGCTCAAAAGTAGTGACCATAAGGCTATCCAATTTTTCTAACTTGTCAGTTACTCTATTTTTCCAGAGACGTCTCTGACCTGAGGTTTCTCTCACAAACTGAACAGTTCAAATTGGCATGACATCAATAGATGCTATTTCAATGGGCTTTAGGTTGGGGAGTGGGGGGGGAGGGGGTAAATGGGAGTTTCTGCAAGCATAATTCTTCATCATTACAAGAATAAATTTCTTAAACTGGCATTAATTGAACAATATCAAACCAGAAGAAGTCCACATATGCATAAATCAGTTATCAAAATCACAAGAGAATCAACATACCTCACCTCCATCGTCATCATCATCCTCATCATCCAATATCTGCTCGTCTTCCAACTCCATCTCAAAAATGCCTTTCTGAGGATTCTCCTCTAGAATATCATCCCATCCAACCTCCACCTACACATACCACAGAACAATAACAAACCAGAAGTAGAAACTGTCATTTAAAAATGCCAAAACAAAGGGTATTTACAGGTTAAGAAAATAGAAAAACAAAATAATTAATGATTATTTGAAGGTACTGGGTGTAGCAAAGTGTTGTCCCTACTACATGTTACTTCAGCATACTCACGTCAAAATCTATCAGCAAGTCGACCACAGCCATGATTAGCATTCTCCTGCCAACTAACTCCCCAATAGCACTGCTTTCCAGCTTGAACATGTTTTCTACAAACAACACCACCACCTACAATAACATCTCACATTAACAGTGATATAATAGAAAGAACACGTGAAGACACTGCAAAATCACAGCACCGCAGATTATATACTTTCTCTAGACAATGCATAGAGATAAAGTATAAAATAAGAAAGGCAAAGTGGGAGGGAGGGAGGGTAAGAGCACTGAATCCACATATCACACCATCTCTGTTTAGCCCACTACGCGAATTACGACCTCCACAATAAGGCCCTCCATAATTCCCCACTCAACCACCAAGGTGCTAGACTGCTATGGGTCCAATATCTCCCATCTCGTCACAAATGTCAGGCTTCCAGCATCCTCTAACTTTGCCTTTAACCTGAAAGTCCATGGACTTTGTCACTATCTTCTTATCAGAATGAAAAGCCATTTCTTCCTTCCCTTGCTTTCTGCCAGCTTCAAGACAGATGCAATAACAAGAGGTTGAAAAAGCTACACACAATCCTGAGTATTTCATGGAAGAAAGAATCCCATATAATTATTGCTTGGCATATTGGCAATGATCTTCACCCAAAACAATAAACATGCCTCTCTGAAATAGACCCCAAGTATATGTACCTCAATCCAATTGACCTCTTTAAAAGATATGAGAAATACAACGAGTTACAGCAACATACAAAACATAACATCTGACAGGTTGGATGCAAAGACCATATAACGTATTAATCCACGAGAAGAAAAAAATTGCTTGAAAAGTTCTCTTCCTCCAACAATCTGGCTGCAATCCCTCTCCCAGCCTGATATCCCCCCCCCCACGGCGCTGGGTTATACTCCCTCTTTAATCATTGGAAACTAGAATGAATTAAATCAAATTATAGACTACACACTCTCCTTAAAAAAAACCTGTCTCAATAAACTCTAATCATTACTTAGTTATTCAAATTTCAAATTTTATTGTCCTCTCTCTTCATTAACCCGTACTCTTTAATTTAAAAATTCCAGCTTGAAGAAGCAAGATTGCTGTTTTACTTCTCATTTATTTTTCGCTAATTTTGGGTTGATTTTACAATTGTTTGGTTAGTTTGTTAAATTTTTTAAGGTTTATTGGGGAGAACTTGATGGATAGGCTTAGAATTATTTACATGTACATTACAATCAATAAGCAAAATCTTAATTTTAAATCGCAATATACGCAAAACCATCAAACTTACAGATGCTCCCTATTCCTGAGTTCTTTCAAGATTTGTTATAATTCCATGCTTGGTAACTCTTTCAACAGCATCAAACAAAGTGTAGGGAACAGCATATACACATAGATTGCATACAGCTCATCAGCAAAATAATTCAGCAAACACATCCCTTTTAAACTGAGAATCAGAATTCTGAACTTACAGGTTCTTGTAGGTTATTAAAAACTTTTGGCATTCTCTGCAGAACAATGGGCAATAATCTTGATGGCGCAAGAGGAACCAGGCCTGAAATATATTCCAAAGCAGAATGCACCCTAACCAAAACGTGATCCTTCTTTGCAACACCATATGGCCACTTTAGAGCTTCGACGAACCTCTTAGGAGGAGTGAAGTTGCATACAAGCATATCCAAACATGAATCAACATATTTACCACTGGAGGCAGCCTGCAGCATGTGAAGTGAGACAAGAGAAAAAAAGGCCTCACAAAATCACGGTCCATATATGATCACATACCAGGGATATAATCAACTCAATCAAAGCGTCCATGACCTCAGGACCATAGCTCCACAAGCTCATATTAAAAATCTGTACAATCGCACAATCTAATTACTATACACAGCTGAGGCAAGACACAGGTGCGAAAAAATATTACACGAGGAACTAGTGAATCAAGAAGATGCATTAAATGCATAGTATTAAAATAGAGCTCTAGAGTAACAAAGTATGCGAGGCTTGTTGGGTCAAGGTAATCTCATGGATCCTGCTAAAAGCTAGTTCTTCCATCAATCCATCCTCTAATGTTTTCCAATGATTCCTTATTTTAGACAATCCTAAATTCCAAATAGTTTCTCACTTCTTTTTTTGGGTACATAACACCATTATTCCCCAAATATACCCTTGTCGCCACAAATATAGAATAGTCATTTGTTCTCCACTTTTCTCTCATCCCATATGAGTTATGATTCCCATGTGCACCGATACCAATGCTTAAAAAAATCAACTACAACATGCTATGTCTCACCCATTATCTAAACATTAGTGTCAAACCTCAAACTCCATGGTAAAAAAAAGTAAAGAATGGAGGAAGTATACTATAAGAAGCCAAGGGATCAAAAAATATATGCACTGCAATAAACGGCTATAAATCACTATATTTCCAGCCAATGGCCGATGAAAATAAAAGAGGATTCATATGAGACTTGTACCCATAAGGAAAAAGGGAAAGAAAAGTTAGAGAACAACATTAGTTAAAAAATCAGGATCTCACGTGAAAATTAATTCAACAAATTTAATCAAATGAATGCAAACAAAATTTTTAATCTTACGGTATCAAGAAGACTCCCATGGTGCACAGTATCTATGCATGAAACTGCACCGGATAAGGCCTTCAAACTTGTCTGCCAAGCAATGAGAGATGCATTTTAGCCAGAATTGCATGTACAGACTACTACCTAAAGCAACTCCCATAATTAAATAAAAGCTTACCACAAGCATAGCTACATCCTCGGGGGAGAGATGATCATTGTAATGTAGCAACCCAATGAGTTCGTTGTAATCATCATTCTCATCCTACAAGATGCATATCAAACTCATAACGCATAGCAAAAACAATCATAAAAACTGGTAATTAACATCACAGTACTCTTCCCTGAAATAAAAAGCATACGAATTAACAAAGACTCTAAGGGCATATTGTTTTCAATTCTTCTTTTTGTAAGCTCAATACTCCTTTTAAACTTTTGCTACTTTCTCTTTCTTCCCTGAATTTTGTACTTGAAATTTAAATAAATAGAATCTAGAAAGAGTTGATCTTTTTGAAGCAAAAGGAAGAGATGGTTAGGTACTCGGCCATTTAAGCACATCACCCATAACACACTCTCAGCAAGGGCAGAGGAAAGTATGTGCCCAAGACTCCAAGAGTAAAGCTGTACCTTAAAATCCACAATAAAACCATAACATTGGCGAGAATGAATTTAAGTTTCATAAATCATTTGTACTCTGTAACAACTTTCTCAGGTCCAATAGTGAGGCTCAAAATCTATTTTTATTCAAACGACTCAAAAGTCCAATGGTATTACTCTCCCATGAATCTCAATTTGGGATTCCACACTACCCTTATACTTCGTATCAATAATTCTTACGCAACATTTATTAAAATAATGAACTTTGTATATTTTTGGTTATCAATTTGCTAATTGTTCTCATTTTTACTAACTCGTTCAATGTTGAGCTCCCTTAGGAGTTAGGACAACACTCATCGTCTCATCCTCCTCTCCTATCGGAGATGTTCTTGTACAGACTCAATTCCGATTTCTTTCAAACCAATACGAATTGAGTGATAACAAAATATAGCTAAATTCGAGCAAAAAATTAACAAAATGCATAACCCTGAAATCCTAAAGCCTAAACACTTAAAACAACATTAATGTGACTTAATTAAAGCTACCAATCACAAAATCAAGCACAATTCAATACTATTATCAACAAACTCAAGTTCAACAATTTTCACTCCCTAAGCATCAAACAAATTCAATTCACACTTTTACAAAAACAAATTTCTCCAACAAAATCACCAAATTAAACCTCCAAAAATCCCAAAAAAAAAATTTAAAATTAGAATTAATACCGAAGAAGCAGATTTAAGAGCTTGACGAATATGAAAAATAACTTCAGAATCAGTTCGATCAATATCATCATCAGCCTCCATTTGTTGATACTGTTCTTCCTTGGTATAATTCGCCGGCTCAACTCCCATGATAATCCCTCTGAATTTTCTCTCTCCTCCGAATACGGCGGCGTTAATTGCCGGAGAATTGATCGGCGGCGGATTCAGCGGCGGAGATAATTGGAGAGAGAAAAGGGCGAGAGTTTGGAAAAACCCTACGCGAAAGAGGAGAATGAATGGGAAGCAAGCAAGGGTTTTCAAAGGGTTTGGAAAAGTACAAATCTCGTCGTTTTATTTGGTTAACCGACAGTAATTTTTTTTTATTTTTTCTTTTTTTGTTATCTGTTAATTTCGCGCTTTAAATTGAGGGAATGGAAAAAAGTCAAAAACAATGAAGTGAACTAGTGAAGCAACTAACTATTGAGAAAGAGGTGATGAGCTCATTGTGTATCTACCTTGTTTGAATGCTAGGTTACCATAGGTTTTACTATTTGTATATAGTATAGTACTTTACAAGTTTTCATGTAGGAATAAGGAATTGATATAAATGTGATCTATTTGAGTCATAATATATGTACGAGTAAGCTATTTTATGATTTTTTGCATCTCAAACTTCTTGTATTAATTTTTTAATGTATGAGCATATTAATGTTTTGAAGTCTCACTTCCCCATCTGCACTTAAATTTGGATTGTATAATGAAATGAAACAATACTTCCTTTCATTTTCAATTGATATTTGTCTTTGAAATTTTTATAAAGTCCAATTTAAATAGAGGGTAATTTAATACCCTTTTGATAAATCTACAACAAAAAAAAAATCATAATATTCTAATGTGTGGTTGGTGTACCCGGGTGCACCATGCGCATGGTGCACTCAGTAAAAAAAATAAAATAAAATAAAAAAATACGGAAAGAACATTAAGTGTTTGAAAAAGAACATGCAAAATTAAAGAACATAAAGACATTACAAAAAGAACATAATTAAAATTTTTATTAAAATTTCATGAAGAATTACACATTAACAGAAAAAATCTTTACCAAATATATCATTTTCCCAAAAATAATTTTTTCTCTCTCCAAAAATTCAACTTACCATAATAATTTTAGTTTTCTCTCTCTAAAATTATTTTTAACTAAAAATAATTCAAGATTTCATTTTCAAATTAATTTTCAAATTTCAAAATAACATAAGTTAAAGAACATACGTTAAAGAACTCATTACCTCAAAGAACATACGAGCCAGATTCAAAGAACATATTTTGTATTATTGAAACCCAAAAAACATGTTTAATAATCAACATAGGTTAAAGAACATATGTTAAAGAACTCATTACCTCAAATAACATACGAGCCAAATTCAAAGAACATACGAGCCAAATATTCAAATAACATATTTGTATTATTGAAACCCAAAAAACATGTTTAATCAACATATGTTAAAGAACATAGGTATAGAAGAACATATTATCAAACATATATAGGTATGTTCTTTGTCAAACATAAGTGTGTTTTTTATTATACAGGTATGTTCTTTGTCAAATAACAGTATGTTCTTTCCGCCTTCCGGGGTGCACACTATTTTCATATTCAAGTGGAGTTTTTTATATTCATCTAATATGTAGTTTAAATAAACTTTTTTATAATAAGTATCTATATATTTTAATGCTTGTGAGGTGTACATACCATTAAATAATTTTGTTATTGCATATTTGCATTTGGCTATTTGACATGTAGATTTTAACAGCCAGCTAGTATCATTGCATAGAATTTGCAATTATATATTTAGTTCATGACTCAATCTCCTCTAATTTAATTTAATTTCTCACACTGTCACTTATTTTGATATTTTATGTGTTAAAAAAATAAAAAATAATTATTATGACATTTAGTGGTAACACTTGTGTTATTGTAGAGGAAGGATCCGATGGGCTATACAAACGGGCCTTATGCTGTAATAGGTTGTGATGTGACGTGCGGCAATTGGCCATTCAATGGACTGCTTGTTTTGCTGGGCCTTCTTTTGTTATTGGGCAGCAGAAGCTATTTCTCATGTGGGCCCTTTTTTTGCCCTTTTCTTGTGTGTTAAATGAATGACCCTATTAGATTAGGATCTCTTATCAATAAGCAAAGCTAGCTATATAATTATAAGATGGATTCTTAGAAAATGAGGGATAGGTTAAGAGAAAAATAGAAATGTGATGGCAATTAGGTCGTTCAGATTAGGTTAAAAATAAGATTTTTCATATTTTGATTCTGTTATGGCAAAAGCTAACGTTTGTCTAGAGGGCGTTGGATAAGATAACTAAAAGTAGAAATAATATTAACTTGATATAAATATTAATTACAACGATCAACGCGTGATTTTGGCATGTATTCCCAAATTAATACCATTTTAAAGGGTTATCTAACGCCTTGGGGGCGTTCGTTACCAAGATCCTTTTATTATTATTAAACTTATTAAGATATATAACCTTTATTGAATACTTTGTATATAGATTGTTAGCTAGGTCACTTTAAGTTGACTTGAGTTGTATAATTTCAGGTTTTAAAATAGATAATAATTATGTATAGATCAGTTTTCCCATGAAACTAAATAGGTGAGGATAGTTCCACTACTAAGGAACTAAAATCAAAAGGATAATGGTAGTTTGTGCCAAATTTATTAATTATAAAAGTTATAGAAACTTCATTAGTGATGAGATACGGGATATTTTGTATGTTTCAAAGTTTAAAGCCACAAAATAAAGTTTCCCAATAGTTGGCAACAACATACACTAGTTTGAATGTATTACTTCAAATCCAATTAAGCTAGTAGCTTTGTTAAGTTGCGTGTGCTTGCCGTCTATTTTTTCACCTATTCGATCATAAGCTCATAGTCACACAGTACACGATAGTGACCACTTCTTTCTAAAGACAATCAATGTCGAGCATTATATATATAATAAGGAAAGAAATGGTAGTACACAGCTTCAGATCTTTATCTTTTGCTTACCCACCTAAGTCCTTAATCATCATATTATCATTTCATATATTATGATATAAAAATCATTAATAAAGATATTGGTTATCTAAGTCACTTGACTCACTTCGGGTTGATTTGAGCTAAATGATTTCGGGTTTGAAATTGGATAATCGAATTCAAGTCAGTTTTTCAAGTTTCAGTGACCCCCACACCAAGAATTGAATAGTAAAGAAAGTGGTAGTACACTAGTACCCTTGTGAATTTAGTACAAATCTTAGAGCAACTTCAATAGTGAGATACGAGATACCGATTGTATCTTTCATTCCACAAAGTTCTTCGGTAGTTGGCCATAAAATAGGTTTGAGATTTTGCATGTGTTACTTCATTTTTAAGCATGTATCTTTGTTGTGCTAAATTTGCTAGCAAGTTATTTATTGTTCAACCTCTCTAAAAATACCTTGTAGGTTTTATGAAAAGAAAAGATCAAGATACACGAATTACAATTAGGCTCGTCTTCTCTAATCTATCATAATTAAAGCAGATATAAGAAATTTTAGTTCCTATAAAGGGGCCAATTATTGCTAGATGGGTGTCTTTTGTGTTCCAACAAGGGCGGATACAAAATTTGCAACAAACTCTTATAACTTATCTGTAAATATGTCTGGATAGTATCGACTGAAATAGTTGCACCATTACGTAGCTACACATTTCACAATAGTAACCGCTTTTCTTTAAGGACAATAATCAACATCCATATTATTAAAATAAATTAAAGAAATTGCAGTACACAACTTCAGATCTTCAGCTTACCCCCACCTTAGTCCTTAGCATATATTCTAGGTAAAAGTACCCTACTTGACGATGATTATAAAATTCATAATCCTAATTTTATAATCTAGAAGTAGAACATTGATGATGAACACATGATTTCATAGTATCCAAAGTTCAATGACCAGATACCAATTTTCCAGCTAATTATAGCAAATTAAATACTCCAACTCTACTAATAAAGTGCCAAATTAAGAAAACCCTTTTTTTATTTGTACTTTGCACAAATCACACCCCATTTCATAATTGATCATAAAACTATATATTATACGATTATATTATATGTAACTTTATATTATATTTAAAAAAAATATGATCATATCGTGCAAATTAATAAAACGTGGCAAACAACCAAACAACATAAGTCCATGCTCAGTTTCATTTGCATGCCATGTGGAGGTCATTTTTCTTACAATGTCCACGACATAGGATTAGATCTAACTAATTAACTATATTAAACTAATTAAACAACTAATTAATTTAAATATTTAATTAAATTTTAGTATAAGGTACGGAGTATTTTATTTTTATACGGTTGTAATTCCAAGACATTTTTTTTGTAACGGGTGGCAGGGTGATGCATGGTTCATCCAAATTTAAGGGCATGCTAATTTTATACGTGGCGCAATTTGGAAGGAACACAGTATTCAAGACAGCTCATTTAGTAGTTAATCATCAATCCCAATAATTTAGTTAAGGTGGGACCCACTAAAAGTCCTTATTTCTCGTTGATAATTGGTCCACCTCAAACCCTTCCAAAGGGCACAAGCCACCAATGAGGGCCCACCTTTGGTGCCTTTAGAAAGGAGCACCAATTATTTTTATTATAATAAGATTTTTATGCATGTATATATAAGCTAGGTGACATACGTTACTTAGTTGCAAACAAGCTAAACTTTCAAAATATTCAAATACATTTCATAGGAGGAAAAGCATTGAGATTTAGGTGATCATTCAAAGACAAAGAAAAAATGGGAGCTACATCCTTCCTTAGAAGCCTCTCACGGCTACCAACGGGAAGGCGATCGACTAATTTGTCGATGGTCACACCGTTGCCTGTACAGAGTCGATTCTCAGAAGAAGTCACGGAAAAGCTTGGTGCTCTTAGAACATCGGAGTACGAATATGCTAGTGCTAGTTGGTTAGTTGAGGTTCTTGATGCTACTATTGTCACACAAAAAGTAGCACAAGAAGAAGTGATCAAAAGTGCTAATAATGTAACTTTATCCAAATTGGATAAGGAAACAATAGAGGCTTACCTAGGAGACAACATCGAGTTGCTCGATGCTTGTAACGGTTTGGTAGAAAAGATAGACGTGGTTCACAAGTACGAAGATACATTACAATCCGTCGTGAGATCTCTTGCAATAGAAGGGCGTAGCCAAGAAATGCTTAAAGAGTGTAGTAAAGTTGAGGCACAATGTGCGGCGTTAGATAAGTGTAGCCCTAAATTATGTCGTCTAATGGGAAGAAAAGAGACGACTCATGTTAATCAAGGTGAACAAGATCTTGAATTGCACGAAGCCCTAAGTGGTTCAAGAGAAGTAGCATCAATGAGTTGCCAACTTTTTCAAAGAGCCTTGTCATTCAAATCTAGGCAAGGGCTTCTAAAATCAAGGTCAAAGTTGTCTACAACATGGTCAAGCTCTTTGAATGAGTTGCAAGTGGCTTTGAACGAGGAGGCCGAAAGGCGAAAAAAGTGTGCTCCATGGATGATGAATGAATTAGAAAAGATGGTGATGGATGCTCGATTTGTTCAAGATCAAGTGAAGTCACAAAAAAGAAGTATCGAAATCGATGATTTACGTAGAAGTTGTAGGGCATTAGAGCAAGTGGTGGAACCATTGGAAGAAAGAGTTAGAGAGTTATATAAAGTCTTGATCTCAATTAGAATGGTTTTATTAGGCATATTATCTAAATGCTAAATTATTTTGTGAAGATTTGTATGAACTTCATGTGAAGTGTATAGTTTGATATTTTTTATCATATCGAATTGTGTATAGTCCATTCATTGACATTAGTGAAACTAATTGAATATAATAGTATACCCTTGGTGGAAATTTTATTGATCATATACTTCATTTATGTCTTACAATTTATTTTTGCGTACTTCGATTTATATTCATCAAGTTTCATGGTATTTTGACGTAAGTAATTTTATTTAATCAAAAGTTTTGATTAAATTTCTCATGTTTGGTTAGATAAAGAATGAATTTCATCAAATTAAACAACAACCACCTTTATTACTATGTTTACATAATAAGCATTGAATACATATATCAAATTGGTACTTTAAGGTGGAAACTTATGATAAAAGTCACAAAACACATATATATATATATGCCATTCGATGATTCGAGTGTATGGTGTGAACAATTTATTGTTCATTGTTTTTACTTAGGAAAATAATACTTAGATGATGTTTTACATTTGAAATTTTAAAAATAATAGTAATAAAATTATAATATGCATTCTTTTAGTAATGCACAAAATTTTCAGTTTATTTTTGTGACCAATATATATCATAAACTCTATAATGCTTTACTTACACTATATATGAAAAAATTGAATCACCATACCACGAAAAATTATATAGCACTATTATTCTATTAATGAGTATTGTGTGTCTGTTCATACTTAACTCTATAAGACGTATGAGCACAATAAGGCATGACTGATTTTTTATTTTGTAGAATATGAGATGACTTTTATGAGATCAAAAAGTATTTGGAATAGCTAGAAAGGGAAATGTTTAAGCTTTTAAAAGGGTATGATTTTTCCATTGAATTTAAATTAGTTTGAATTTAATAGGTTTTGGATCACCAAATACATACGAAACCAAAAAAAGTACTTTTGTGAGTGACTTGTCATACATTATACACCATTTTATCCTAAAATTACGTTTACAATTGAACCGTCTTAGATGTGTATTCCGTAACCCGTCTCACGATTAATTTGATCAAATAATTTATATAATTTATTTTGGAAACATTAAGTAGTAGTAAGAAGCAAAGTATATAACTTTATACGACAAAGCCGTTTTAGGCATTTGGTCTTAAAATCTTATCTTAATCTGAAAAATAGAATAAAAACAGCTTTCCACAAGATCCGAAGATCATTACTAACACCTTGTTAACTTAGTGCTTAAGATCAAATCCATAAAACAAAAGTTAATTAATCTAAAAATTATTAAAAATTAAGAGAAGCTTGAGTTATAGTATTGCCCACGTATGATGTCTAATCTTAGGGTAGGCGCACAATAATGTACAAAAGAATCTATCGTTATTATAATTAGGAACATAATCCAATATGATTTAGATGCGTCCTAAATTAATTAAATAATTAGTACCATGATGTACCATAATGTACAAATATTATATTATGTTAATTAAACCTAGATTTTAGAGGACTATAATGAATTAATGATCATGCCGTACCAACGAATGTACCCGTTATTAAGGTGGCTAATACATGAATCTGAACATTATTATTAATCCAACATTATTACGTTTAATAATAATGAAAATAGTTCATGTATTTTGGCTGGCTTAAATACAATAGGACAAATGACAATTGGGTTCTGTAGCCTAATCTGTTTAGAAGATTAACGTACAGTATGGTCTGCATGATATGTAGGTGATACATTTCCCTTTTCCTACTAGCAAGATTGCAAGGAACAAGAAAATCTACTAAACCATTTAATTAGATAAGTTCAAAAATGTCAAAAATAAAAATTTGTGTACAATGGGTGTATCGTACTGATAACATGGTTCAAAGCGCAAAATCACAAATGCAATACTTCACAACTAATGAGCGACTTTTATGTGATTTAGGGTCCAATAAGTTAACGATCGAAACATACAATTTGTTTATGTACCGATTGAATACAAGATCTGTTATTTAAGAAAAACTAAACTACTAATATGCCATGGAAAGAATGCTCGAGGATAAGGCTCAAATCCGCCCAAAAAATAAAATAAAATAATTTATATAAATATCAACTAGTTTAATTTCATTAATATATTTTAGGTGGTGCCTAAGAATTCAAATCTCGTCTGATCACCGAGTATAAAATCTCACTTTTTACTTAGGATCCAATTATTGGCTTCTTGTATTGTTGGCTTCCAAGAACCCTTTCTCATACCAGATAGTACAATGTATAATTTATAAAGCACCAAACCAAAATAATGAAAAACTCAAATTTTTCGATACAACCAAACTGAACTTAGAATGAAGTTGTTTGCTTCAGATAAAAGAAAAGGAAAGGATCGGATCGAATTTAAGAAAGGGAATTAAAAATGGAGAAAAGAATAGAGAATGGAAAATTATAATTTTGCTACTTGTATTAGTTTTTTTTAAAATTTTTTTAATTTTTTTTATTTTATTTTAAGGTGTTTGTTTCTTAAATACCTCCTCTGCTTCCTAAAACGTTCGAATATTACACTATTAAGTATTAACCACCGCCAAAGTGCAATCTTCTATGGTAGGAAGGACCACGTGTTCGATCCCCCGCAATAACAATTGGGAGGGGAGTGAAACTTAACCACTTAGAACTGATCCTCGAATCCGAATTAGCCCAAAGGGTGAACCGGGTGGAACACCATCAATCAATCAATCAACCAAAGCCTTAATCCCATAAATGGGGTCGGCTAACATGAACCGGGTGAAATACCAAAAAAAAAAAAAGTATTAACCAGCAAGGCGCAAACTTCTATGGTTTAATTAACTTAAGGAAATTAATGGTATTGTATTAAATGTTTTTTGGTTTATCTAAATGTATATTTCCTAATATGTCAACTTTATATAATTTTATCGATACATATAAAGTAACACCTGTCCTAAAAAAAAAAAGGTAATACCTCCTTTTTTGTTAGTTGACACGTATTTTTTTTGGGAAGTTTTTTTTAGTTGACATGTATTCTATTTTGGATTTTTTTTAATTGACCCCACTATAAGGGAGCGTTTGTTTCGCAAAATGGTATGAGTTTGGAATCAGGAATGGGGTTGAGGTGATATCGGGTTGGAACTTGATACTTAATACCATGTATTTGGTTCAATTCTAGAAATGAAATCTCTCACTATTCCCTCATTTTATTTGATACTTAAGGGAATGGAATAAGCCAAATCCACCTCCCCCCAAGTTTCTAAACCCCATACCTCATGGGTTTGAGGTATGAGTTTAAAATTCATACTTTTGACAACCAAACATATGATATGGGTTGTAGTCATTCTAAACCCATACCTCATATCTATATCCCGCGAACCAAACGCCCCCTAAATTTGAATAAATAAGCTAAAGTACATGATATACCCATTTGCTTTAACATTTTTTCTCCTCTCCTTAAAATATGTGCCTAAATTAAACATGTCATCTAAATAGAAACGGAGGAAGTATATCAAAGCTTAAAATTAAGCTTAGTAAATGAGATATTAGTAAGGGGAAGTAACAATGGTAGAGGTAATAGTGAATTGATGTCCAATGTCAAGGATGATTGTTATTGAGAATAATGTGATAGCACGCACAATAGTCGTGGAGAAAAATGGGAGAATTGAAGTGGAGAAAAGTTGATAATGGTAGATGAAACTATTAAGCAATTGTGGTCCTATAGAGGAATTTAAAAAAAAAAAAAAAAAAAAAAAAAAAAAAAAAACCTTACGTAGATAAAATAAAAATACATTTACAGCTTAAGTTCTCTACCCATCTAGAGGAGAAACTTCAATTGTTCAATCTAACAAACGAAAATCAGTATGCTCATAATAATGCATTGTGGTCGTTTGGTTAAATGTAGAAAGTATCTTTATGCTTGAACAAACGCGACCACGATGCATTATGATGTTCATACCTGAGTATTTTGAGTAATCAAACGACCACAATACATTTAATCAAACAACCACAATGCATTACATTTAATCAAACGGCCACAATGCATTACATTTGATCAAACGACCACGATGCATTATGCTTAAACAAGCCAATCCTTTGAAGAGAAGAAAGTATCCGAGGCTTTATTGGAGGGGATTATGTCAATATTAAAATCCCAAAATTTAGACTAAAGTCCGCAAGATGGGGCAATGGACAAACAGTGGAAAATCGAATCTTTGAGATCTTAACTGCAATGATGTCATTCCAAACCTCGCCTAGGAACAATGGCAGGCCAAAAAAATATGATTTGGCATTGCCATTTTCTCCAATATAACTAAAGATAAGCTTGAAATACAACAGTCCCTGCTCTAAACTCTTTACAACAAGAATCCTGTGCCTATCGGAATAAGGATACAACGACCAAAGAACCTCTATGAGGGGTAATGTCAGTATATACAAGAATGATCAAACAAAATTCGGATTGACGGTCAAGATTATAAAGTGCAATGAAATAACTTCACTTAACCTTCCGTAGATCACTCTAAGGTTTTGAGTAACCTGAACAAACCAGCAGCTTCTCTTATCCGGGAGAACTCAATACAGAAGGCCTGAACTTCGATAAAGAGATCTTGAACTGCAAAATAAATCACAGGAAGAATTATCAGCATTTCCCCTCTATGAATTCAGGATTGCCAGTTTAAATTCCCTCCCACCACAAAACATCAATGCAATTGCATATTTACAATCTGATGCCTTCTTAGGGTCTAATACAGCCATGCCCTTCAACTCTCACTTCTATCAGCAGTTACCATAATAACTTCATACTTGCCAATTAAAGATCATTTATTTGTTTTAAAAAAATGGTGCCTAGCCTGCTAACCCGGGCCGGGAGGACCTGTGAGAGGTTCCAGCCCGGTAGGGCCCTTCTCCTTACCAACAAAAAAAAAATAAAAAAATAAAATTAAATTAAAGATATAATCCAAAATAACTTCACTCTTCCTTTGATGTAAATCAAAATTAATATAATTCTCCCCTCTTCTCTCTCGGCCTATCCTGACACTTTCTCTTTTATTTTTAATATCTCCATCTATCCCAAACTTTCTCTAATCTTTTTCTCTCTATCCGAACACTTTATCTTACCTTAGTTTTCCTATTGTCACTTCCGATGTTTTAACAGTTAATAAGTATCCTTGATCTATGTGCCCAACCCAAATGTGAAGTCTAATATGGGACTAGTCAGCGGGAGAACAAGTTTAATTTTGAGCACAGATAACACTACATTTTCATCTTTCATCATAACCTTCTTAAATTCCCTTCCCTTGTAAAAATAAGAAGAAAACAATGTAATACTAAAAAATGTGATATTATTTCAAGAGCTTCAGCAGGTCAGCAAACAGAATGGGGAAAAAGTGGAAAGTTTTTTTACTCTTTTGTATTGGCTGTTCAAGGTTTCTGTCCAAAGTAAGAAAAACAGAGAAACAGAAGGATCTAGATCTCAACAATGAAGAATCACATCACACACATGCATCAAACAATTAAGTTTCACCCATAATGGATCAATTATTTCACTGTCCCTCTAAAAATACTGGGGAGAATTACTTTCAGATTAAAAAAATTATTACTGCATTATGTTAACAAAATTATACGCCTTGAAGCAAATCTGCCAAGTATCAGTTTCCCAGTACAGTGGTGAAATTTTCCCACAAAATTACAAAATTGTTCATCAAGGTCCTAGAGGAACCCACATTTTCTCCCTAAGTCAATTAAAATTTTGGCAAGCATCACGCCTCTCCCATGCTTCCAATGCAGGAGTTATTTTTTTATTTTTTTTTTTTATCATTTTTTATTGATAAAAACGCAAGAATTAGGTGAGAAAAGAGTAAAATAAGGTAACACTGACACATAAATATGAATATATAAATCATTCAGCATAAAAAACAGGGGTGAAGCCAATAAAAGTAACTTGTGAGAAAGTGCAAAATTGCAGTGAGGCAGAAGATGGACACACCATTGATAATCTTATTACGTATTAAGCTCTGTAAGAAGACGCATACAAGTCTGACAAGTCTGTTCTGCATATATTTGTCCTGTACAGCAAATAGCAAATAGCAAATCTCAGATATTCATTTCTTAAACGGAGCAATTGGTGGCAGTACTGAAAAAAAAAAAAAAAAAAAAAAAAAAAAAAAAAAAAAAAAAAAACAAGAAGCAAGTTGGATCAATCACAAAAAATACCATGACTGGCGCCAGCATCTGTAAGGGCATTATATCCGCCAAATTACTCAATACCCACCAAAAGAAAACAGAAGGGACAAGGGATAAGGAGAAGATCGACAAACATAACAATAGAACAGGATTCAATATGTTTTAAGGTAAAATCAGTATAGAATCTGTCCGGCAAATTCCAAATCAAAAGGGACAAAGGTTTAGCCCTTTCCATCTCAGCAATGATTACAAATCTTTATTCTAGAGGAAAAGAACAGAAGAGGAGGTAAAACCATATTCCCCCCCCCCCCCACCCTCCAAATTCCAGCTAGATCTTTGCAGACCACAAGGCAATGTGACAAGTAAAGCATATATTAATATATCGGGCAAGGCCATAGCATAGTAGTACATGAAACACAGACATACCCACACACAGGATCGACAATGTGCTTATGTGACTAGCATATGTACTCAGCTTCAGAAGAAGGCTATAACCATTTCAAACAAAAATGATTGGTTTAAAAAGAACCAAACCGTCTACTAATGCCAAATTTTTTTTAATAAATTTGGCTACTCAGAATTCAGAAACAATACAATAACCTTTTCCCTCTTTTTCTGCTGAAATGCTGTCTTAGTACAAACAAGAGTGTTGGGACAAAGAAATTTCACATAAATGTGAAGGAAAGAGAAGAATAAAAAGATAATCAATGTTGTCTTATTACAAAAAATAAGTGTGAAGAAGATTCCAAGACACTGACCAAAAAAAAAAAAAAAAAGAATGAAGAAGATTAGAAATGAAGTAATGAATACTAATATCATAGTATGATACTTCCTCTGCTCTAGATATATATTGCAACATGGGAAAGGCATGAAATTAAGAAAGTGGGTAAATGTTGAGAGGAACCACAAAAATCATGCGTATTACTCGCAAAACCCATATGAATGAGGAGCTTTGGAAATATCTGTAAGGGTATATTGGGTAATTTGTAGTGTAAAAGGATATGTTGGAATTTATCAAAGGGAAACGCTGCAATATCTGTTTTACTTTCTTACAAGGCAATTGTGGCAATTGTTAAATTATGGAAGAAGTTATTTTAAAAAACATAAAAGACCTAAAAGAAAATACAAGGTAGACCCTTTCAATGCACCTAGGTAGACAATCTTGGATCATAGCTAGCCATTCTTTTTAGGATAATGAGCCCAAGTTGTGCAGCCAACCTACACAGCAAGCCCACATACATCAGCCCTTGCCATTCCAGCCAGGAAAACCATTCAGAATAACTGTGCTCCAACTGACAATGCAGGCCAAAAAGCACCATGTTAAACCCCAGAAAGATATCAAGCCACCTTTCATCATTTAATTTGAAATTCACACTCCATACTGTATACCTTCAAGGACCATTGTGTTCATTGACTAGAGATGTGTATCAGAAAACCCATGAACTATGTGCCAGAACACATTAAATCCCTACCAACCTTAGTATGAAAAATCCAGGTACATCCTATTCAACTGAAAATCTAAACAACCAAAAATAATCCCTTTGAAAAACATATAGAGGACAAGAGAGCAACTCCAGCTACAGTTGCGAATCCACTATGAGAAACCACAAGATGAAAACCAAATCATGCATACAGAGGACAAGAAAGCAACCGCAGAGGGCTACAGGTGCAAATCCACTATGAGAAACCACAAGCTAAGAACCCCTTCTTACATAATAAGGCCTAGTTTCATCACATACTATTTTACAAAAAAAATCACAGAGATTTTCCTTATTGTTTCCCAAGGATACTCTTCAACTCCTAATGCTTTGAGCAAAGATGATAGCACTCCAAAAAGTGAAACAACAGTATTTCAGGCTCTTGCTCACACCACTCCCACTGACCATTTAAGTGTAAGAAAGTACCAACCGTATGAAGTGTACAAATAGCTTCTCAAGGGTAAATGGTAATGCAACAGCTAACAAACTCCTTCAAAAAAGAAAATATACTGAGAATCAATAGCTTCAATTATTAGGTATCTTAGGAAGTTTTGATGCATAAGGATCCATAGCTTCAATTACTAACAACCTAAGGAGTACTGATTAAATCAGCTCAACAAGTAAATACCAATACACAGACCGGAGCTCACACAATTATTCATCACATTATTGACACAGTTTATGGTTTTACACAATCCACATGTATCAATTCAAGGGTTACCAAGAAGTCAGAAGTGCCTCAAGTTTGCATGCACAGGTGCACAACCATTCATTTGCACTAAAGCCACTTAAGAGTTACGACATAGACAAGACCTCGAGATCATAGTTTAGTGGTTTGGCCTATATCATGCATCATGCTAAAATTATACATACTCATTACAGAGTATTTAATAGCTACAGTCACGATATGCAAAATAGTACTCCCTCCGTCCCATTATTTCGTGCCGGTATTCCTTTTTGGGTGTCCCAAAATGTTGTGCCTGTATCTAAAAATAGCACATAATTATTACTTACTTTTTATCTTTCCCATACAAAATACACATATACCAAAAAAATCATTACTTACTTTTTATCTTTTTCATTCAATATTCTCTACTTTTTATTATTCCCATACAATATTCTCTACTTTTTATCTTTCCAATAGAATATTTCCCTACTTCCACCATTTTCCTTAATTACCGCGTTTTTTGAGAAATAGGCACGAAATAATGGGACGGAGGGAGTAAGATTTTTGATAAACCACCTTGCTTCTACGAATAAATTCAATTGAATGCATAAGGTATCAGATTTATCCTCTTCCAACATTTAAGACAATCATTTGATAAAAGTTTGCTAAACAGCTTTTGCATATACCGACAAAAATGACCAAGATTCACAGCTATAATTAGATTGTTTAACTCGAAGCATATACACCAACCAGGTCACAGAAACAGATCCAACCAGAATCAACACTTCCTTAATTATGCACAAAAAGCAAGTCATAAGGAAATAAATTTAGCAAAGAACTGGCTCTAATATAAAAAACCTCAGGCCTGCATTTATAAAAAATTTAATAGCAGAACTTCCAGGGACCAAGAGAATTATAACTCTCAAAGAAAGTGGCATTTATAATTGTTCATCCAAAAGCTGAGACAGACATCTGACAGAAAGGTCTAGGAATTAACCTTGATGTTTTCACAAGAGGATATGCAATTTGTTATGTACATATGCACAAATTCAGTAGGAAGGTCCACTGCTGTTGTAAGCCTGTTTACAACTTCCATAGAATGTAGACTCATATCCATGTTGACAAGAACTGTGAAATAGCTGCATTCAACCAAGAATTGAAAAAAATCAGGAGGTGGAGTTGGGATGGGGAGGAAAGTAGACAATAACAAAATCTAGAAGACGCACTCTGAAATTTCTGGTGAATTCATCAGTTTGATAAGAACTTCAACTGCTATGAGGGGATTGTTTTCCACCAATTCCTGAAAAGCAAGATACAGTTCCCTATTAGCATCAATGTAATAACCATTGCATTAAAGTATGAAGACAAATCATAAAATTAATTACAGGAAGCTTTCTTGGAGTCAATCCACAGTGATAGACCAGCTTAGGATCATTTGCCAATTCCACCAGAACTTGCTAACCAAAAGGAAAAAAAGATAATAAGTGAAGGATTAGAGGAATATTAATTATAAAGTTGAATAAAAATAGAAACTTTAGACATAATATATATACTTTAGAGCACTGACTCCCTCATAATCACAAGGAAATATAATAAGCGAGAAACAGAAAAGTGCACAAGCTTTAAGAGGTTAAAAATGTAACAAGTGCACAAGCTTTAAGAGGTTAAAAGTGCACAAGCTTGCATATTCAACGTGCCCAAAAAAAAAATCAAATGAAAAAAAAAAAGAAAAAAAAATCAAATTTCAATTACAGAAAACAAAATCTTTCTTGTTTGCTGAGATCACCTTCAATGCTAGATAGTGCATGGTAAGTAGCATTTAAGGATAAAGGGAAACAACAAAGTTAAATCGGCACAATACATAACAATCAAGTAATTGTTCAATCATAATTTTCATCTATAATTTTTAGAAATCTAGATGGATCTGTATTGAGTACAATATTGATAAGGAACATAAATTACAATTGACGACAAGTCGACAACCATAAAACTATACAACAAATCAAACATTTAGCAAATAGTCCAATAAATAGGACACAAAAAGGATGCTAAACCTAAATTGTACAACATTTTATCACCGTCATAGTTCAGTAATATAATCAAGCACCTCTTGTTGCGCAGGAGCAAGTGGACCTTTCAAAGCCTTTGCAATCAAATCTCTCACAGCTGCTCCTCTACTTGTATCCGCACACATGCCATAATCCCATAAAAGCTCATGATTATTGTCAGGGTTGAGCCAAACCAGCTGTAAAGGGCTTAAACAGGTTAAGTCCAATAACATATAAATGGTACCCCCACAATTCGATAAACTAACTGAGGGTCTAACCTCCCCATCTTGAAGAGGAAACCTCGGTGGAAGAGGCCTCATCCACTTAGGTTCTAGCCCCTCTAGAGATAGATTTTGTAATAGCCCTGTTATTGTTTCATCTCTATTACCAGATCCTATTTTGGGTTTGGCTCCAGGTTGGAGGTCAAATCTGACAAAAAAATCCATGAATTAGTAGGACATGAAGGAAATTTAGACAAACAAACTGAATATCAAGTTCAAGATATTGACAATGCAAAAATATGGCAAGAAGCTATACTCTTCTGAAGTCACATCACATTGAGGTGGCACATCCGGATCTGGAATCACATTTTTGACAGAAGCATTCTTAAATAGGCAGTTATAAGGCTCTGGAAGAACTTTATTGCAAAATTGCTCTTGCAGCTGTTCACGAGCTGGGAAAGTCTGGAGGAAGAAAGGAGCAAATAATACTTTCATCAACATTAAGAGGCTACATTTAAAATGCTATAATCAGCAGCTTGACTTTGTTATTGCATCTCAATGACATCACATGTCAGGTAATGGGTATTTCAGCTATAAAAAGTACAAGATCCTCAATGTATAGCTTTTCGAACTTACAATAGATGAAGGATCAAAGCCTTTAATATAGTCTGAAGCGGACTGTTTGAGAACCTGCATCAATGAACCAAATCTGAAATGCATCACTAACAGGAAAATACTTAGGACTAATGCACTGGACCATTATTCATTTATCTAGCACAACTCACACCTAAGGAGCTAAAAACAAACTCAAAATGCCAAAAGAAGAGGATTAATAATATTAAAATACCTCCTTGTTAATCTCGTTGCCAGCTGATCCCAACAAGTGGAGAATCAGTGCCCTCTCATATTTGGCACCTTCTTCATCAGATGCAATCTGGGAAAAGAAAAGAGGGGGAAAGATGGTAATATTTAGTAGCACAAAATAAAGTAAATTATAGATGAGCTAACTGCAAATTCACACTACACAAAAATAGATTGGAGTAAAACTACTTTCAGAAGTTCATGCCAAGAAAAGACCAAAGAGTCAACGGAAAATGTTCTACTCGAAGGAAAAAAAAAAAATTCATAGGTGCAAATAACATCAGGATCAGTAGCCTACATATTGCTTAGACTTTAAAACAACCTCCTCAACCCGAGAGGATAAGGAAGTCACCAAGTCACATGAATAATTTTGCAGATTTACGGTACAATAAAAAGCCTCGGACTTGATACATTGAAATATTAGTCCCCAAGTCAACCAAAGTTTTAAAAAGATGTATCCATAGAGTCATAGAGAGACGGCAACCAAAGAAGTTGCATGAATTTGTCACAGAAGTGTATCAAATCTGAATTTCTTGAACAGTTTAGTCCTTGATCTTAAAATCAGATTAAGAAAAGCTTGCAGGTCATAAATCTGGTTAGTCCGGTACCGCAGTTCCTCAAAAAAGTGAGCGTCCTTTCTTTCAGTTATTTGTGCAAAAATGACAAATATAAGGTACCAACTCATGGAACAAAGGTTAGTAGCTGGCAGCGCCATTTAGAGACAACCAAAAACAATAATATTACAAGTTAAGGCAAAATGTTGTGAACTGTGAGCAAACGGAGAATTTCTCACAAATCTTTTGATTTATTAATATTTACAACTCCAAATAAAAATTGACTTCCTTAGATAAACAGTAAACAAAGTGGTTTACTGTTTCTCAAATCAGTAGCAACATGGAATCATGTATTCATGTGTTTGAGTTAGGGTTTCCACATCTGATGCAAAAACAATAAAATGAACCACTTTCAGGGGCAATACAGATGTTTTGCAACTTTCAGCCTATCGCAGTCTAATGTCAAAATTGCAGTAAGTTCAAAAGCTTTACAATGCTAGACAACCTCAAGGCACTAAAGTCAAAGCCTTCTTTTCCCCTAACCAACCTCGAGGTACTAGTGGGCAGAAGATAAAGCATATCCTTGCAAATGTGAGGGAACTTAATAAAGACAAGAACTACACTGTTACATAGCTTAATACTACTTGGCACCTGTACAAGGAAAAGGGCAATAGAAACTCATATTAATATCTCCAATTCGCCATAGTAATACTTAAAATCAATCAACCAAAGAAAGCAAAACTAGCACATAGTAAATGTCAAAAGCTAGTCTGATACATACGGTGTGTCTTAGCCTCAAATATAAGTGTATTATATCAGCTAGAGTGATAACTAAATTCAATGACATACTTTGAAAAGGAAAATCACATATACTTACATTGACCAAAAGGGAAATGAACGGATTTTCTGAAGGTTGCTGAGAAGAATATGCCTGATAGAGCATACAGATTGCGTATAGACGTTGACTCGAAAAAAGCATGGGTTTGTCCTGCAATAATAAAATCATCAAGACTAGTAAGTTTAATAGTTAAGCAAATCCCAAGGCTCATTACAATCGAAATTATTTGTGGCAATGAATGACTCAGATAAATATGAGTAATAGCAAATCATGCAATTATTCATGGAAAAAAAGGCCATCTAGAAACCACAAAAAGTTCCACACTAATCCATAGATCATAAAATGCAGTTCCTTGAAATAACTTTAGGCCTCCATACTACACCTCCAAACAATATAGAATCCCATCACAAAAGTGAAAGTTAACTAGCAACAATGGCAAAGCATGGATTTGTTGAAAGTCTAGATAATTGAACTGAAGCCCTTTTGTCTGATCTGCAGTGAAGAACGATGAACATCTTTGCATAATGCAAGCAAATGATGAATAACATAAAATGGAAGGGAAAAACAATTTAATACAGAATATAGGCCCTAGGATCTCAAAACATAGGAATAGCTTCAAGCAAAGGTTATCCTTCAATTTGAAATGACACTCAACATCCCAATGCTTGTCAACTATACAATACACACCATGCCATCACACTCAAGCACAGAAACAAACTAGCTCAAATCATCTTCAACCTGACATCGTAGAGAGAATTACCATCACACATTATTTGGAAAAATAAATAGGTTTATTTACACAATTAAAACCCGATATCAAAATGTCTTTCAGTAGTTGCACAATTATAGCCGAAAAAGAGTTTACTTCCTTTGTTATTCACATATATCTGCAAAATCTCAATTAATTTTTTCAACTCACCAGTTCAAAATCACACCAAATCCTAACATTCAAAATATATCCATTTCACCAAAAATTCATCAAAACCCTAAACAAGTTCAACAATTCCAGTTCCAACAAAAGTACAATAAACCCCAGTCGAAAACTTCGAAAACGCAATCAATTGAAGCTCAATCTATAGAAAATCAAGATTTAGGATAAATAAAATACAAAAATATATATACCTCGATAAGTGTGGCGAGAGCAGTGCATATCCTGAAATGGAGAAATGAAGGGAATTTCGAGGTGAAATCCGCCATAACTTCATCGAAAGACCTTTGTTCTGAATTCAGAAGCGCAAACAACGCTTTCGATTCTTCGACGCTGATCATCGTCGCGAAATTTGGGTTCGTCGGAAAGTGCAGAGGAGAGAGAAAGTGCAGAAGGGGAAGGAGGGTAGAAGAGAAAGGAAATGATTTGGGTTTTTAGGCGTTTCGAAACTCTTTACTTTAACAAACTAAATTTAAAATACGGCTATTTCACCAAATGCCAGTAAGCAATTGCGAAATTCACCGAATGTTATGAGTCTTTTCCAAATTCACCAAATGCCACCGAGTCTTACAAAAATTCACCGAGTGCCATTAATGACTGAGGCCGTTAGTTGACCCCACCCCTTGCCACGTGTCACCTTCTGATTGGTCTGTTACTAAAAAAATATGAAAAATAACAAAAAATTTAAAAAAAAAAAACAAAACCTGCTGCCAGCCAGCCATTCCGGCCACCCCACCGCCAAACCCCCTTGCCGCCGAACCCCACCAGCCAGCACCGGAAGCGCGCCTGCCCTTTATGATTTCGGCCACCCCACCCCCTCCCTTCCGATTTCAGTGCCACCAGCCCACCACCAGCCAGCCCATTCCGACAGCCCCCTTCCCTTCCCTTTCCTCGCACCCCCTTTCCTCACACCAGAATCGAAGCATTTCCGTTTCCATTACCATTCCCGTTCAATTTCAAACTATCCACTCCATTAATCACCGGAATTTTTGTCTCCTCCGTTGATGGAACCGTGTTCTCCCTCACAGCTCGAATTCGCCGAAATCTAGGGTTCCGCGAACTGCAACTTCAAAAGTTAAACCGGTAACAAAGGGGGCAAAAGGTTGATTAATTAAGCCTTCTGAGATTCGAGCAGAAGGTGGGCTTCTCCCCCTATTTTCGAGAGTTTGCACGGCTGAATTTGGGGTGTGAACCACCAGATCGAGGCGAACACCTGTTGAAACAGTCATAGCAGCAGAAAAGGAGTTCGCAAAAGGAACTTGAGTAGAGTTTTCCGATGAGTTCCCGGAATCAGAGTTGCCATCTCCAGCGAGAATTGTTGGAGAGGAGGGGTTTCGCGACGGGAAAGAGGAGGGGAGGTGAAGGGCTTGCTTCGACGGCCGTCGGTGCGCCTGCCGGTGAGGGTGCAGGTCGCTGGCGGCAGGGTTTCGGGGTTTGGCGGCAGGGAGCGGGTGGTGGCTGGGTGGTTTCAAGTTTTTTTTATTTTTTTTTTCATTTTTTTAAAAAAATATTATTTTTGTCAAAACTAACCAATCAGAAGGTGACACGTGGCAAGTAGTGGGGTCAACTAATGGCCGTCAGTCATTAATGGCACTCGGTGAATTTTTGTAAAACTCGGTGGCATTTGGTGAATTTGGAAAAGGCTCATGACATTTGGTGAATTTCGCAATTGCTCAGTGGCATTTGGTGAAATAGCCGTTAAAAATAAATAGAGTACGATTAATAAACAAAAAAAAATTGTTTATCAAGTGACATTTATTGATAAATAAATTTTTGTAATAATATCAACAATTGTGGATCTATTTTTGTATTTTCTCATTGGATCTTTCTACTTTGATAAGACTTGAGAGTGTGATTATTTTCATCCCCTTTTTTTTCCCCAAAATGTCACTATTTTTACCTTTCATGTATGTCAGTGCATAATTTTTATTGCAAATAATATACCGACTACCGAGACATGATTACATTATGAGTACTAATTACTATGTATCGAGCAAATGCATTTGTCATTACACCACTTTTATCATTGATATATTTAATCTTTATTATTCTGTAATGGATACAATACGATGTTGATTTTGACAATGTACTTTGTAATTAACATTTGTTTATTCATACATCAGTAAAAAAAAAAAAAAAAAAAAAAAGGTTTGTAAAAAAAAAACAAATTTAACTCAAAGCCACTAAATAAGTAGTTAAAAAAAAAAAAAAAAAAGAGGAAAAAAACAGTAATGTATTATTAGCATTCATAAAAACATCTACATTACAAGTATGTATACATTGATACACCACATGACCGTGATGACACCCCCTTTTCATACAAAGGTCTTGTAGATACTTGTTACTCCGTACCACCAATCTTAAACAGAGTGTTTGGGTCCACTTCAGTCATTACTAATTGGGCCGGTTCATATGATTTAATTACAAAAGTTCAAAGCAAGGTTCAGCTCTCCAAAGCATGCTAAAGTCAATCAAGCCCAGTTAGCATGGCAAGCCCATCTGACTCCAAGGGCCCAACCCTCCTCTATTGAGCAAAGGTATAAAAGCCATCAATTGTCTCATTTATCATTCATTCACAATCAGCCTCAAGCAATTAATTCTCTTGCATAGCTTTTACTCTCAATACACTGAAGTGACTTTAGCATCGGAGGGGCCTTTCTCGGCAACCACCCCCGAGGCTAGTTTACGTGTGTTTGTTGTGCAGGAAATCCTTGGCCAACCTTTACCTGACCAAGCTTCGGCTTCTCCCACCGAAAAGGGCCTGCCGAAGGTTCTATTGTTTTCATACCGTAACAATTTGGCGTCGTCTGTGGGAAAGATACATAAAATTAAGTAAAAAAAAACCAACCAATCTTAGCATAAACATGACTAAGAGTGGAAAATGTTAGAATTTAGAGTGTATGAGAGGAGAGCCCTCTCCTTAATAAGGAGAGACCACGACTGGAAGCCTCGGAAAGCCGCGCCCGCGGCCTTATGTGCCGCGCCCGCGGCATGGGCGCGACCAGCCATCTCCAAAATCTGAGGGTGAAACTCAATTCACCCTGTCCGCGCCCGCGGCTCAGGCAACTGGGTCCGCGGCCCTGGCAGTTGCGGTTTCATTTGTTCTTTTAATTGCAAAATTAAAAGAAGAGATGGATATTCTGATTTTGCTCTTCTGGTTTTTTCCTTTGTTTTCTCTACATCTTTATTTGTAGAAACTTGCAATCTCTTCATCTAAACTCTATTAATTAAACCAATCTTCGTGAATTTGCCATCTTTATTTCGGTTCTTACTACAAAGAACGAATTACTGTCTTTTGTATCTCAAAGAGGATTTCCGATTAAACCCAAGCACCGTTGTGGGGGAAATTAACCTCTTTAGGAAAGTGTATACACGCCTAAGACAGAGTATCAAGGATTGAGACTCAAGTGGTCATCAACATTCTCATGTTCATGTTCTTGGTGTTGGCTTGGAGTTGAAGCAAGTGTAGAATCTTTCACATTAGTGTTTTCTTTTGTAATTTCTAAATTACATTGTTTATTTGGCGCTTGGTTTGTAATACTTTGATTAGTATTGGTTGTTGTATAATTAAGTTGATATTATACATCATTTTGAGGTTTTGTTCCCACATTCATTCTTACGTAGTCCTTGTTGTTGAATTACTGTAAAACCTAATAGAAAAAGCAACAAGAATGCTAAGAAGAATGATCCTTCCTCTTCGAGGAAAGACCTAGTTATGGTGAGGGTGAATCAACCGGTTCCACTATCATCGGAACATTCTTCTTCGAAAGCTCCATCTTCTCCGGAAAGGGAAGCCTCTGAGAAGTCCCCATCTAACCATACTCGCCAGCCAACAAACTCGTCTCAGCCGAGTAGGTCAAATGCAAAAAGTCCCCCTCCGTAGAGTTTCCATTCTTGGTCTCAGCCGAGAATAACTCCTCAGTCGGGGCCTTCTACGGAGGAAGTGGCAAGAGCCGTTGCGGTCGTCATGGAATTCATGAAGGCCCAAGGAGGCAACCTTCCACAAACTCCCCATGATCACTCATCTCTCCCGCAAAGACACCTGAGAAGGAGGATTGGCCGAGAGGAGGGTGACTAAACCCCATCCTTCAAGGAAATTGGGGAAAAATGGGAGGAGGACACTTGGAGAACCGAGCAGGAAAGGAAAAAGAACCCCCAGTTCTTTGGATATTCCAAAACCCGGGACTCCAGGAGGTTTAGGCTCAAGGGAGGAAAAAGCAATACCACCTCAGCGTGACAAGAACCTGCTCGCCGAAGCGTTCATGAACGTTTAGGCTCAAGGGAGGTGGACGTGCATAGTCGCCACACCTACCTGGAGGGAACCAGGCCCTACCCCGAATTGTCTCAGCCGGGGACAAAAACCACTTCCACCTTTCTGAGAGGGAGAAGCGAGGTCCCTTCGGCTAGACAGAAAGGGGAAGGTCGTTATGGTTCCTACAAGTTCACCCTTGCAAAGCTGGATATTGGAAGAGCATGTGCCGACGGTGAAAATCCCGGCACACATCACTTACTGATAACTTGTTATTTGGAATGATTTTAGGGTACTTTTGAACCTTGTTTTCGTTATTAATCGACATCAAAGTTCATTTTTTAACCTATTTTTATGCAAATTTTGTACCATCCATGCTTCAAGGGTTGTTTGTATTTTTGATGTAATGTAGTTATTTTTAGCACTATGGATGTGATCAAGCATGAGTGAGAAAGGATAAGGGAAAGCTTGGTTGATAGAGCCATGGAGGAAGAAGGAGGAATGCCTTAAAGGGAAATGAAAAGATTTTGGAGAACCTTGAAAGGTCGTTTGCGTAAGCGTCAACTTCAACCGACATTAACTTTTGATCTACTCAAACTTTTGAAGCGATTCAAATTGGAGATTAAAGTTCGTCTCAAGAGCTTTCCAACTACTAGTCACAAGTCCATTTCCAGCAAAAAACAAAGAAGTTACAGCCTCCCAAAGTTAAGCTGTCTAGGCACGGCATACTGCACGGACGTGCAAGATGATGGCACGTCCGTGCAAAGCTGCACGTACGTGCAGACCTTCACCTTTTTGGCCCTTCTGCATGTCCTTGCCAAACTTTGCACAACCGTGCTGAGCCTTGCACGTCCGTGCCAAATCTGGCACGCCCGTGCCAAATCTGGCATGCCCGTGCCAAATCTGGCACGCCCGTGCAGACCTGCTGTCGAGCTCCTTCCTCGTTTTCTCCGTCCTTTAGCTTCAATGGTTTTTGAAAAAATTCGAGGTTTTCGTTCAGTGCAGCCCGAAGTATTGCCTAATGAGGCCTCGTACTTCGGCAAGCCGTAAAACCTGTCAAGACGAGATAAAAGATAAAACCCCGAGGTATTGCCTAATGAGGCCTTGTACTTCGGATGAATCAGTTCCTCCAAGCAAAGAGGCTATAGGCGCATCCAAAACATTGCCTAAAAAATAGGAACTGATAAAGCCACGGAGTATTGCCTAATGAAGCATTGTACTTCGGATGAATCAGTTTCGGGTGATGATTGCATTTCCGATGTATTGCCTAATGAAGCATGGTACTTCGGATAGATCATTGCCCCGGCATCGTGTTTTGGATAGTCATTCCCTCGGATGAATTATAAAAATCAAG